GGGCGCAGGACGTGCAGTGGCGACCACGCGCGAGCAGGGCCAGGATGTGCTGCGAGAGGGCCGCTGGCCAGCGCAGCAGACTGGGGGACCCAGGGGCTCCGACAAGCCCTCTGGGGGACCCTCACCCCCCTTTCTGACCTCCGCATTCCCAGCCCCTCCGCCGGGGTTCCCAGGGAAAGCTTCTTCCGCTTTCACCACTGTCCAGCTCTAGTCCCGACCGGCCGGAGGGCTCCCCCCGGATGACCACCTCCCGGCGCGGCAGAGCCCAGCCCAGGGCAGCACCGCCCTCCCTCGGGCCTTGCATCCTGCTCCGGGCCTAGGGCCCGGCCACTCGGAGGGACTGGTCCCGTTGCGTGGAGCCTGGCCGCCAGCGGGGCCTCTGCCCCCCTCCCCATCCCGGGTACCCCGACGTCTCCTGCCACAGGGGTCGCGCTGAAGGAACCGCCTGGAGGGAGATGAGCGACAGAACCCACTCTGCGCCCTCACTCGGCTTTATTGGAGACTAAGGAAGCAACTTGAAAGAACGAGCGAGACACGTCACACGTCACCAGGAGGGGCAGGTTCCTTTGAATTGGTCAAATTCTGTACCCACAACGATTTGGAGGATTTGGGGCGGTTTCCGTGTCTACTTCCATGTCAGCGATCCTCAAGTACGGCCGCCCCTGCCGCTCCGCGCTTCGACTCCCGGTCACTCTATGGAGGTCTTTTCAAAACACTATGTTGCAGCGGAGGGGGACGAGGTCTTTTCAAAACACTATGTTGCAGCGGAGGGGGACGAGGTCTTTTCAAAACACTATGTTGCAGCGGAGGGGGACGAGGTCTTTTCAAAACACTATGTTGCAGCGAAGAGGGACGAGGTCTTTTCAAAACACTATGTTGCAGCGGAGGGGGACGAGGTCTTTTCAAAACACTATGTTGCAGCGGAGGGGGACGAGGTCTTTTCAAAACACTATGTTGCAGCGGAGGGGGACGAGGTCTTTTCAAAACACTATGTTGCAGCGGAGGGGGACGAGGTCTTTTCAAAACACTATGTTGCAGCGGAGGGGGACGAGGTACTTTTCAAAACACTATGTTGCAGCGGAGGGGGACGAGGACTTTTCAAAACACTATGTTGCAGCGGAGGGGGACGAGGACTTTTCAAAACACTATGTTGCAGCGGAGGGGGACGAGGTCTTTTCAAACACTATGTTGCAGCGGAGGGGGACGAGGTCTTTTCAAAACACTATGTTGCAGCGGAGGGGGACGAGGTCTTTTCAAAACACTATGTTGCAGCGGAGGGGGACGAGGTCTTTTCAAAACACTATGTTGCAGCGGAGGGGGACGAGGTCTTTTCAAAACACTATGTTGCAGCGGAGGGGGACGAGGACTTTTCAAAACACTATGTTGCAGCGGAGGGGACGAGGACTTTTCAAAACACTATGTTGCAGCGGAGGGGGACGAGGACTTTTCAAAACACTATGTTGCAGCGGAGGGGGACGAGGTCTTTTCAAAACACTATGTTGCAGCGGAGGGGGACGAGGTCTTTTCAAAACACTATGTTGCAGCGGAGGGGGACGAGTTCTTTTCAAAACACTATGTTGCAGCGGAGGGGGACGAGGTCTTTTCAAAACACTATGTTGCAGCGGAGGGGGACGAGGTCTTTTCAAAACACTATGTTGCAGCGGAGGGGACGAGGTCTTTTCAAAACCACTATGTTGCAGCGGAGGGGGACGAGGACTTTTTCAAAACACTATGTTGCAGCGGAGGGGGACGAGGTCTTTTCAAAACACTATGTTGCAGCGGAGGGGGACGAGGACTTTTCAAAACACTATGTTGCAGCGGAGGGGGACGAGGACTTTTCAAACACTATGTTGCAGCGGAGGGGGACGAGGTCTTTTCAAACACTATGTTGCAGCGGAGGGGGACGAGGTCTTTTCAAAACACTATGTTGCAGCGGAGGGGGACGAGGTCTTTTCAAAACACTATGTTGCAGCGGAGGGGGACGAGGTCTTTTCAAAACACTATGTTGCAGCGGAGGGGGACGAGGTCTTTTCAAAACACTATGTTGCAGCGGAGGGGGACGAGGTCTTTTCAAAACACTATGTTGCAGCGGAGGGGGACGAGGTCTTTTCAAAACACTATGTTGCAGCGGAGGGGGACGAGGACTTTTCAAAACACTATGTTGCAGCGGAGGGGGACGAGGACTTTTCAAAACACTATGTTGCAGCGGAGGGGGACGAGGTCTTTTCAAAACACTATGTTGCAGCGGAGGGGGACGAGGTCTTTTCAAAACACTATGTTGCAGCGGAGGGGGACGAGGTCTTTTCAAAACACTATGTTGCAGCGGAGGGGGACGAGGTCTTTTCAAAACACTATGTTGCAGCGGAGGGGGACGAGGTCTTTTCAAAACACTATGTTGCAGCGGAGGGGGACGAGGACTTTTCAAAACACTATGTTGCAGCGGAGGGGGACGAGGTCTTTTCAAAACACTATGTTGCAGCGGAGGGGGACGAGGACTTTTCAAAACACTATGTTGCAGCGGAGGGGGACGAGGACTTTTCAAACACTATGTTGCAGCGGAGGGGGACGAGGACTTTTCAAAACACTATGTTGCAGCGGAGGGGGACGAGGTCTTTTCAAAACACTATGTTGCAGCGGAGGGGGACGAGGTCTTTTCAAAACACTATGTTGCAGCGGAGGGGGACGAGGTCTTTTCAAAACACTATGTTGCAGCGGAGGGGGACGAGGTCTTTTCAAAACACTATGTTGCAGCGGAGGGGGACGAGGTCTTTTCAAAACACTATGTTGCAGCGGAGGGGGACGAGGTCTTTTCAAAACACTATGTTGCAGCGGAGGGGGACGAGGACTTTTCAAAACACTATGTTGCAGTGGAGAGGGACGACTTGTACAAATAAGGAATCCTACTTCGCGGAAATTCATTTATCGCCGTAGAATCTGGAACCGATTAACCGCGATAAATGATGGCCGACTGCATTCAGGTTATGATACTTAATAGAGACGAACCAACAAAAGCTCCCCAAATCCCTATTATGCTTCCCTCTTTTTTTTTTGATATGCTGTTCAGAGCATGTGATACATTTTGCTCAACTCAAGCTGCTCTTACATTTTTGGGCCTGCTCCCCCCAAAAAAAACTCGGAGGCAGGACATTTTTAATTTTTTCTTCTTTATTGATTTTAGAGAGAGGAAGGGAGAGGGAGAGAAACATCAATGAGAGAGAGCATTAGCCACCTCCTGCACACCCCCTACTGGGGATCGGGCCCACAACCTGGGCATGTGCCCTGACCGGGAATCGAACCGGTGACCTCTTGGTGCAGGGTTGATACTCAACCACTGAGCCACACCCGCTGGGCAGGAGGCAGGAGGCAGGAGGCAGGAGGCAGGAGGCCATTTTTAAAGCTACACAATTAACCTTGATGTTCTCCAGGTTTCTCCTTTTGTTGTTGTTGTTAGATTACTTAACGTTTTACTTTATTTCTTAATATTCCAAGTTGAAGTTGGAACCATTGTCACCAACTTAGATTGAGGCCATTTGCACCTGCAGCCTCTGTACAAGCTTTACAAGAGCAGAAAAATAGGCTTCACCCACGGAGACTCGTGGACACATGGCTGCCATCTGACATTGTGAGGGGCCCCTGAAAGGAGAGCTGTTTCCACCAACACCTGGCCACCTTCCCCTCGCCCTGCCCACCCGTCTCTTGTCACCTGCCGGTGCCACGGCACCCCCCTCAGTCCTGTGGGAGTTCAGCCTCCTGCGCCGCGTCCCTGACCCCACCGCCTTCGCTGCCCTGCCCTGGGCCGCCGCTCTGCCTCAGGGTCTGCCTTCCGCCACTACAGCTCTTCTCTCAAAAGGGAAGAGTATCATTTTCACAAAAAGACTGTCATCTCAACTCCAATGGGGTCGTCCTGTTAGACCCCCAAAGTACCCCGTACATTTTCCTTATACAAATTCGGCCACTAACTCTATGTTTGTACAGACAAACTGTCTCCTGGACTTGCTCTGGAGACGGGAGCCACCGTGTCACCAGTGACTGACAAATTGTTTCTTGAATAAATTGTGCAAGAGATGGCCTTTCCTATCCCCTTTGAAGTTGCACGTGTAGATTTCAGGGTTGCATGGCTCCTTAGAACACACCGGACGATTCTGGAATGAAAATCATCACTTTCTGCATGTATTTCTCTTCTGGGGTTTCCCACGGAAACTGCTGTGGCCTAACCCACTCCCAATGTATACTTAGGTGCAGAACTCCGCCGCCCACGGCTGCTGCGGCGGGAGGCGGGGCCAGGGCTCTGCCGGTAATAAGCATTCCTTCCATGCAAAGCCACAGAACCACGGGCCTGGAGATGAAACCAAGTCAACATTAAGTCTCTAGGCTTTGTCTTCCTCAGCTAGACTAAAAGTGAGTTCTGATAGAATACCTGGTCCTGCCAGAGAGATCTCCAGGGTCCCTACAGCCTTTCACTCCTGCCCTCGCAAGGCCTGGGAATCCGTGGCGCTGCCCTGGCCCGGCGCCCGCTCAGAGGCTGGGAAGGAATGGTGAAGGGAGGCGGAAACCCAGGGCCTGCAGGGCGAGGCCCCTCCAGGTGCAGCTCCTGGCTCTGGCGGCCCTGAGTGCCCACCTCCCATCTGTCCTCATACCCACCTGCCACCAGACCCCCCACTGAGCAAGCTCGGCTGGGCCCCTGCACTCCAACCCGCCCGGGGGGACATCCTGTTTGCAGTGTGCTGGTTCCCGTGGCACTGGGGGGTGTAACAGAGCAGTGTGCGTGACCATGTGGCTGCTGGTGCAGAGCAAACGCCGTGAAAGCCGGGCCGTGTCTGAGACCACCGTCCACGTGACGCAGTCTCGTCTGTCAGTCCGCACCAGTGGGGTAAACCAGGAGCACCGCCCGGCAGAAACGACAGGGCGCAGCCGGACGGGGAAGGCTGCTGTGGCGGCCACCATCTCTGTCAGCGCCATGGAAACAGGTGGCAGCAAGTACACTTAAATACATACCAAGTTTATTAAAAACAGGCTGTGAATGGGGTACAGTAGAAATGGAACTACAGCAGTTTGATGTCGTCCAAGTAGTGCAGTTATGAAAAGCCCTCCCACACCCACTCACACCCGAACACCGTCAAGGACGGCCAAACCCCGTTCCGGAGTTTGACAACCACACGTACAAGCACCCTGTGTGCAGGTATTTACATGTATTTGCATGTACTCATGTGCACTGATTTCTTCTATATATTAACAGAATAGTAGTCCATCTGCATCATATTCTCTAAGAAGGGGGTTCCGCCCGGGAAGGCTGCCAGTGCTCCCAGGGTGCGGGGGAGGAGCCTGCTTTTCCTAGCACTTTGAGCAAGTGTGCAAATCCTTCATAACATGCAGGCCCACTTCCCTCTCCGACTTAAGCGAGAATGGTAAAGGCACACTCCCAAGTTGGAGCCCTGATAGACAAGATCATTTACTTGCACTTTAAGGACATCGTACTGCCCTGTTTCCCAGGCCGGGAAGCCCCCCCCCCCCATTTGGAAGTGTGCACATCTCTCTAACACACACATCTGTAAGAGAACATGGTGCAGAAGAATCTTCTAGGACCCACGTCAGGGCTTTGTCAATAGAAAATTTCCTTATAGTCACTAAGTAATTTACCACTTTAACATCAACAATATAAAACAGTGAGGTCCGTCTCCCCAGCATCAGCCACATGTTCATAGCTGAAGGAATGTGGCGATTAATAATCCAACAAACGGAAATCAAACAGCCCATCAGATGTGGAAAAGCGTGAAGGGCACAGTCCCTCTCAGACGTCAGGCGCTGCCGTGCGCGCCCCGCCCCGCACCCAGGTCCACGTGTGGGACGGAATCCCTGAGCAGGTGGTGCACATGGCACCTGATGCCTCGGAGCCCCAGATGCTCCGTTCACATCGACATCCTCCCGGGGCCCCTGAATGTCTGAATATGTAGTTAGCTTTCTAATGCTGCTGCCACCTTCAAAATCACCAACCATTTATCATAATAATCTGGCATTTATAAAAATAAAATTTCCTAAACTTAAAGTCTCAAAACTGTCTGTTGGGAATTCTTTCCCGTCAGCTCTGTGGAACTGGCCGGGAGGCCTCACCTGTAAGGGGCGCGGACGGCGCCCGCCCGCCGCTCGGGCCTGGGAGGAAGGCCAGTGGCCTCACCGGGCTGCGGGCAGAGGACCGACTCTCCGTCGGCAGCGCGTGGCCACTGACAGTGCAAACAAGACTCGGGGCGGGGCGGGGCGGGGCACGCTATTCTCTGAGAGCTGAAGTCAGGTCTTTAAAAAAGAAGAGAAATAGGACTTCTTTGTGCTCCTTGGGAAAGGCAGGGGAGACACCTCAGTGTTTCTACCCTTCGCTCTGTCCCCAGACTCGTCTAAAACAGAAAAGGAAAGGTCTGCAGTGAGTGGGGTGAGGAGAGCCGGACAGAGCGCGGCCCGCGCAGAGGGCCTCCTGGTCAGCAGGAGGAGTTTCTCGGAACTGGAGCATCTGTGATCCCCGCACTGCAGAAACAGAGAGCACAGTGCCCCTCGCTCTCCCCCACGCTCGTGCCTACGCGGCTGCGTGGGAGGACCCGGGCGACACCAGGTGCCGTCTCCTCTTCACTTGGTGTTCAGCTCGTGTTCCAGTTCCATCAGCTTACGAGAGGCTTTCACTTTATCAGACACGTCCTGACCCTGTGAAAACAGACGCTGGCGCTCTCGGAACGTCAGGTTCTCAGGGGCCCCCGAACTTCCAGCGAGATCTGCTTCGTGGCTGCAGGAGAAGGAAAGACAAGACATCTGGTCACACGGGCCCCTCGTCAACAAGGAGCGAGTTCAGCGACAGTTTTATGAGAGACTCGTTCTTTGGTGACCCTGCCATCACCTTTCCTATAATTAAAATCACTGAGCTGTATTTAAACCCATGTAGAAAAAAGGGCAAAACTATTTTCTTCCTAAGAACGTTAACCTTCTCCAGTCATATCCATGTCTCAAAACTCTTCAGTAAACTAGATTTTAGCAAGCAGGTGATTCTCAACAATGAAGTCTACGCAGAGACGTCCAGTTTCAAAACACAGCATGACCTGCGCCCACCCCCTGTCTGAACAGCCCCAGGGGCCTGTGCCCACCCTGCGTCTGAACAGCCCCAGGGGCCCGTGCCCACCCCATCTGAACAGCCCCAGGGGCCCGGGCTCACCCCCTGTCTGAACAGCCCCACGAGCCTGGGCCCACCCTCTGTCTGAACAGCTCCATGAGCGACACATGGGGAGACGCTTAGTGCTCGAGTCCTGTGTGTGGTCGACACCGGGACTGGCAAGTCCCTGAAGGGCAGTGGGGCCTCGTGCAAACAGGGTGAGAGGAAGGAACAAGCCAGCCCCCAGGGAGGTGCCCGTCCAGCACTAACGCAAATACCTTTTAGACACTTTCTCTCTCGGGTCCTGATAAGCATCTTGGGCACCAAATAGTGTCCCGGATGATCCCGTAAAAGAGTTTGGTCCTTTTTCAAAAAAAAAAAAAAAAAGTTAAAGTTAAAGGACTTGCATTATTTCCAAAACTTTACTCATGAAAAGGACGCAGTACTAATAGAAGAGCAAGACACTTTGAGTAAGCAGAGCAGGCTCTTCAGGTCAGACAACAGCCCAGCGGGGGGTGCCCCCACCTCCCAGCAGCCACACAGTCCGATGCGGCCCCACAAGGCGCTGATCGCTGGCCTCCGGCTGCAGGACCAGAGAGGACTGCACAGGCCTCAGGCAGAGAAAACCCACAGGAGACTGCCTCACAGGGGGAGACGGCAGAGCGCCCCAGACGCTCCCAACACTGGGAATTTTCCTGCAAAATCACCGAGTAAGCGTGATCCGCAGATTAAGTAGTCATGTGACTGAAGTCCCTCTTTTTAGGGCAGCTACTACATTTTTTCTTTTCAAAACAAACGAGACTCTTCTAACAAATGAGCCGTGCAAAGCCCTGCATGGACCCTGGTGCCACAGGCACAGGTGACCGCCGGGAGGAGCCGCAGTGGGCAGCGGCCTGAGGGCCCCGCCTGCCGTCTCTGCCCCAGGGTGGTGGGAGAGCCAAAGACATGATGCAGACGATAATTCAAATGCATCCAAACAGGCTCATCTTCCCCAATGATACACTATTAAAATCAATACATCGAAACCCTGCTAATCTATTTCTAGTAACTGTAGCTCAAGGAAAACATTTCCACACTTCAGCAATCTCGCTGAGAAGCGCAGGTGCCCGAGCACTCGGCGCCAGCACAGGGCAGCCCCGGGCGGTGGGCGGGCAGGCCCGGAGGCCAGCGCGGCGGACAGTGCTGTGGGGCAGCCCGGGCAGCGCCCGCCCTCGCCCGGGGCCGGGTCCCAGTCACACAGGAAGGCCTCAGAGAGACTCAGCAGACCCGACAGAACCCGTCTCGGCTCCAGGGAGCTCCACAGCAGCCTTTAGATACGCTATTCGTATAGAATTTTTTCAGTTTTTATTCTCAATATTTATTCACTTTGTTTTTTAAAAAATGTTGTATCTTTTGAGCTTTGTTTTAAGAATAGTTGTTTCTTCCACTGGTATAAGTGAATTTTTCAAAATATCCAGTCAATCAGAGTATCAAACACTTCCAGCTGACTATGTATGAATCAAGACCACATGTCAAATAATTTCCAGACAGCCTTGGCAGAGAATGTTCTGAACAGGCCGCGGTGCTGACCCCGCCCCCGGCCTTGTCGGCACAGCGCCCAGTGGAAGGAACGGTCCCGGCTGCAGAGCCAGACGCTCCAGAGAGCTCCCAGCAGGACAGAGCTGAGCACAGGTGCAGGACGCCAGGGGGGGCGCAGGACACATTCTGCACTTGGTGCACCAGCTCTGTCCTTGAAGGAAGGGGTCTTTTTTTTAAAAATTTCGTTTTCCCTTTATTGATTTTACAGAGAGAGGAATTGAGAGGGAGAGACAGACAGAAACATCAATGAGAAAGAACATCGATTGGCTGCCTCCTGCACCCCCCCTGCTGGAGATCTGGCCCATAACCTGGCATGTGCCCTGACAGGGAATCAAACCGGTGACCTCTTGGTGCAGGGTCGCGCTCAGCCAGAGCTGCCCAGCCGGATAGGAAGGGGTCTTTAAAGAGGCGGATGCAGGTGCAACCTGCTCCTACGCCCTCAGGAGTGAGACAGGCGAGGGCCGTGGTGTGACTGACGGCCAAGGCAGCTGGCGTGACGCTCAGCTGCAACGTCACCAAGCCTATTTATTTCTGTCCCACGTTTACAAAATAGCTCAAATTCAGCTTGTCCTCTGCTGTGAGGACGTTGATGGCACCTCACTTCAAAAGTTACTGTTACTCCTGCCCTGGCTGGTGGCTCAGCGGGGGGAACCTCATCCTGTACACCAAAAGGCTGTGGATTCGATCCCTGGGCAGGGTTGTGCGGGAGGCAGCTGATCAATGCTTTTCTCTCTCCCTTCCTTTCTCTAAAAACATATCCTCAGGTGAGAATTTTTTTAAAAAATCACTATGATTTTTTTACTTAAAAGTCGTAAGGATAGCACATTCTGGATATTTACAACAGAAACTCGATGAAAAGGTAAAGTGTCGGCTCCGGAGTGGCTCAAAGCTCTGCCTCAGGTGGAGAGAGGCCCGGCAGAGCCACCTGTGACGTGCGTCACGGCACAGTCCCCGCAGGGCGGCGGTGCGTGCCCGGTGCTGCCCGGGAGAACTCAGAAGACCTGAGCCTGGAACCGGAATCCACACAGCACAGTTCTGCTGTGCGTCTAACTCAGTGCGGCTCAGAAACGATACCGAGGATGCACCGGCCTCTGGGCCTGGCGCAGGGAGAACCCGGGTGCTGACCAGAACCCGAGGCAAGCGTGTGCCTATAGAGGCCTGGCCGCCAGCGCTGCGGAGCTCGGAGGAGGAAAGGCGACTGGGAGGAAGAAGGTGGCTGGGGTGACTCACGACCCGGTCTCTGGCCCTGGCGGGGCAGCTGACGCTCAGCAGTCCCCAGCCCAGCTTAGCAGGTGCTGCCAGGACTCGGGCCCCTGCTGCACCACCACTACATGGCACATGGTCTGGGACAGAAAGTCCTGCTTGCGTTAAGTAACAAAACTTAACGTGTGCTAGGACACTGTTAAGTAAGGAGGAACTTATCTTTAGACACCAGAACGTGGGGAGAGGGCACACGTTCACCCAAACGCAGGAGTTACTTGAAGAGGCAGAGAATGAAGGCCAAGACCAACAGTACGTCAGGCACGAGCACGGAAGGACTGATTGTGGGGTGGGGAGGAGGGCTCTCAGGTGCCAATCACTGGCGCACAAGCAGAGACCTGCAGCCAGGCAGAGGGAGATCACCACGCTGAGCCCATGATCAAGCTTGATTCGGACTCCCAAGTGAGTGGGCCGAGACGGACCGCACCCCAGTGGGCAGTGTGCAGAGAGATGCCCAGATCCGACCAGGAAGGCAGGAGGCTGACTGGCAGCTCTACTTTTTACCTCTACCTCTGGAGTGGCCGAGATGGGAGAAGCTTGCTGTTTTTGGAGGGGGCGGGGGCTGGCCTGCTTTGCGGGCAGTACTGTTGGCACTGGCCGAGGGTGGCTGGAATGAGCTGGAGAGAAAGATGCCATCGGAGGCCGGGCGCGGCTTAAGGGCGGCAGGAGGAAGGTGCCCGTGAGACGGCCTTGTGCGGGAGCACTTATCCTGACCTGCTGGACTGCGGTCCTCCTCCTCCTCCTCCTCCTCCTCCTCGCTGTAGGCAACGAACTTGGCGGTGTACAGGGAGTCAGGGGAGAGGACCTGGGCCTGCAGGTAGGAGGCGGTGCGCTGAGGTGGGGGGGGAGGGGCGGCAGCCGGAGGGGGCGGGGCCGGGGGCTCATAGCCCCGGGGAAGCGGAGGCCTGCACAGACCAGGCTCCTCGGGCTCCAGCAGCCTGCGTCCAGCCTCCTCGTGCAGTCTGCGCCTCTCGGCCTCCAGGCGGCTGTAATACCCTTCTTCCTGTCGCCTCTGCCGGCGGGAACAGACAAAAGCACAGAGGTCAGGTAAGGCCGGAGGGGACCACAGCCCACCCACTAGGCCTCTCAGAGCAGGAAGGGTGGATCTGCCTCAGGCCCCTGGCCAGTGCCCTGACCACCTGAGGAGCGCAGAGGCCTGGATGTGGGGACACTGCACAGAAGCAGACAGGGCAGCCTGGAGGGCTTCTTCTGAGAAGCACACTCACTGCTCTGGAACCGTCTGACATGGCTGCTCAGAAAAGCACAGAATGAACACACTCTCATCTCAGGTGCTTCCGGGCTCCCCATTCCCACCCTCTGCCTCAGTGTCCCGTCCAGCGGTCCCAGCAGCTTCCACTTGCCCCAGCTTCTCTCTGGCTCTGTCTCCTGCTCCGCGAGGACAGCAACTTACCTGTGACTGCCGAGTTCAAAGGCAAAACAAAGCCAGACACAGGCCCTACCTGGCCTCCCACAGCTGTGCTCCCAGCGGCGCCCGGCGCCCCCTGCGCCCAGCGGCTTCAGAAGAGCAGTCCTCCCGCCACCTGCTTTGTCCCCGTCATCCGGACGGAAACTAAGGGGCGCCTCAGCGCGAACCGACTCGCGTTCCCAGAGCAACACTAACCATCTCTCCCCACAGTTCTCAAATGACGTTTACATCGTCACTCCCTGACAGACAGAAATGAGAGCAACAGCAACAAGATCAAATATATTTCGACATGTACTATACATTTTTCTGACATACATCTGTGTAAACTCCAGTTGACAGTGTTAAAATTATTTTAACATTAAAAAGGGTAACAGCGCAATTTTGTTAAAAGATTGACAGAGTTTTAGAACACAAGGAAAAAGTAAACGAGAAGAGATGAGAAATCAAACAGAATCATCGGCCTTAATGAGAATAATGTTTACAATGCAGTTTGGATCCATCAACCAGAGAACCAGTCCCAGGGACCTTGCTGGCATCAGGGTCAGTTTTCAGCCCCTATTGGAAGTTGCCTGCTCTCTCCCGCTGCCCTGCACAGACAGACAGACAGACACGCACGCACACACGCAAGGCCTTCTGGGGAGGAGACGAGAGGGAGCTCAGCCCCGCCAGGGCCCGGACCAGCCTCACTACCTTCTGACTCTACGTGGAGACGTCCTGAAGGAAAACCTTCTTTCTTATTTTTACACAAAACAGGTGTCCTCCTGGGATGTGGAATCAAATCCAGGTGAGCCCAGGGCATTCCCATGACTCTGCCAGGCTGGGTGCCAGGCTGGGGAGCCAGCGCACCCTTCTGGTACCAAGGGCAGGTTGATTCCAGGACCCGAGAAGCCTTGGTTGCACCAGCACTTTCTATAACAAGGCGCACCCACCAATTTTGGATGTTTGTATAAAAAAGTAGATTATTCAGCTTCTTTTTACACTGACCACTCAATTATGGGAGCAGTTACTGGAAACTGTCTCTGACATGACTGCCAGTGGCAAGAACAGGTGCTGGCGTAGACCTGCCCTCTGGACACCTGCAGTGTCCCAGGGGTGCATGGCACACGGCAGGGGCGCGACTGGGAGGCAGGGAGCCGGGGGGCATGCCCCCGACATAGAACAGCACACACACGACACCCAGAGGCTTGAACCCGAAACCTGAGCTCCTCAGAAAGACAATGTGCCTTCACCACACCCGTGAGTGACGGGGGCCGGAAGCTCGGGCTCTGAGACGCCCCTGGGCACACAGAGGCCGCAGGCGCAGGCGCCGGCACAGGGGCAGGGGAGGCCTGCAGAGCCCGGACAGCACTCAGCACAGCTGCGCGCACAGGCTGGCTTTCACCTGGACGGGCCCGGCGTCCCTGGCTCACTCTCGCTACACCTCACGACTGCGCACCACAGAGGGCTCCCTCCAAGTCCTTCCTCGGGCTGAATGGGAGGGCGCTCTGTCCACAGAGGTCACTGGACTATCAAAGAAGGAATTTCTAATACAAACTAAGCTTTTCCCATCAGAGGTTGTGGCACTTGAGCTTCCGCCTTCACAGAAGGGAGGTGTGGGGACGCCTGTCACAGCAGCGGGCCGGCCGGAGCCCCTGCACAGGGCTGGGGAGGGACAGCAACAGCCCCGTTCTGAGAACAGGCCCCTGGGTCGTCCTCTTAGAATTCAATTGAAAGGTTACTTGGGTTAAAAAGCCCACATACGGGAACATGAGAGCATCTACCAGGTCACACACGCATCACATCCCTCGTCTCACGTCCTTCACAAGCCACGTGCTCTGCACCAGCCAGAAGGAGCGGCTCCAGGAACAGCTACGGGGCCGTGTCAGCAGGTGTCCGCTGCGTCCTGCTGCTTCCCACAGCTCAGGCTCGAGCTGAACACCAGTGAGCACGCACCTCCGTGGGAACCAGGGGCTGCGCCAGCCAGGACACAGCCCAGGTCAGCAGCCCTGGAGCAGAGGCTCGTGGCCGACCAGGCCTAAGAGCTCGGAAGTCAGAGACACGCGCAGAGAAGGGGTCTGGAGACAGTTCGGAAGAGAGGCGGCGGCCAGCCCTGCTCGCTGCGCTCCAGGGCAGAGCGGGTGCGGCCCTGTCTGCTGCACTCAGAGACGTGCCAGCGCTAGCCCCTGTGCCCCTAGAGGACCATAACCTTTTCTTCAGCGTCCCGCTTGGCCCGCTCCTCCTCCTGCCGCAGCCGGTGGTCCTCCTGCCGGGCGCGCTCCTCCGCCTCCCGCTGCCGCGTCTCCTCCAGCTGCTGCTGCCGCCTGCGCTCCTCATCCTGCAACTAACAGCACATCAGTCTTAGCTTCCGCCTGCGGACGGCACCGCCGACGCCGCAGCACACAGACGAGCAGACGCACACAGAGCTCAGTGACAGGCCAGGTTCAACGCGCGGCCGAGGACGGCAGGACTCACACTCCAAGCTCCACGACCTGACCGTGAAGCAGACCCTGCAGCTCCCCCAGCACTGCCGCCCACCGTGGTGCGGACAGTGGGCCCCACTCACATGCACGCAGACAAGCACGACTCTTCTATGAGAATATGTTTAAGGTAACCAGCTCATGTGAATTAAGAGATGCAAACAGCAGACACCCCAAGTCATGGACCCATGGAATACCCTCAACCAGCCTCTCCCAGGTTCATTTCAGTCTCCACCCCATTTCAGAGAAGCCTGCCCCCCTGTGGTCGAGGGCACAATAACACTAGCCTCTGGGGGCAGCACAGGACTCCAGGGGCTACAGATGTCACCTGGTCTTGGGGACAGAGTCTGTAGCATTCGCCCAGCCTGGCCCGTTGCCACCAGCTCCCTCTGGACCCATCTGAGAATCCCTGTAAAAGCCCTAATGGCTGTAGAAGCCCACTGTTGGCCGTGCGTCCAAGAATCCCTCTCCTGCTCAGGGACACGATCACACCGTGTCACAGAGTCGGAACTGGGACTGTGGGAGAACCTCCTGCCACATTCTGCCAAGGAACTCTGTGTGCTGGGACACGTCTGGCGAGGACCACTGCCCACCTCCCGAGGTAGTGCATCTTATTCTTAGGTAACCACTCGTCACAAGATTCTTCTGTGGCTCGACCGTCCATCACCCGCATGCCGTCTAACACCTTCCCTCAGGCCACTCAGCCGCTGCGATACTTAAGGGTGCCTTAAAAATCTCCGACAACTCTCCTGCTTGGGTTCCAGCTCCTTTGCCCTGCTGGTCACATTTCCTGTGCACTCACTGCAGGTAGAAACACCTTTCCTGAAAGGGACCCTGAATTAAATGCACATTCACTTGGCCAGTAAAGAACAGAGCAAGACTCTCTTTTTCCCTCTCAATGTAACAGCTGCTTCTGCTGGGAAAGCAACTCTGCCAACGATGCCTTCTGTCCACTTCTCGCCAGCAGCCTGGGCTGGAGGAGCCCCTCGGCTCGGCCCCCTCGGCTCTGTACCCCCCGCTTGGCTCTGCACCCCTCGGCTTGGCCCCCTTGGCTCTGCACTCTCCTACATCAGTGAGTTGACTCAAAGTCTTAAACCTGAAATGGAGCCCGGCCGGTGTGGCTCAGTGGACTGAGAGTCCTGGTTCAATTCCCGGTCAGGGCACATGCCTGGGTTTTGGGCTCGACCCCCAGTAGGGGGCGTGCAGGAGGCAGCCATCGATGTTTCTCTCTCACATGGATGTTTCTATCTCTCTCTCTAAAATCAATAAAAACATACTAAAAACAAACTAAATGGAACAGGAAGCCACCTAGCTCAGCCTCTGACTACTGCAGGGACCCTCACATCAAGTCTTCAGGGTGTGGTTGGTACCTACGAAACTACTACTAATTCTATTAACTGTTCATTTGAATTGTGTGTGTATTTTTACTTAAATAAAAACCGAACGCCTTGGCTCTTGGTGATTTCTGTGGGACCGACGTATTCTGGGGGGAAGGACCACGAGACGGGCCCCGGACCCCCTCCAGGGAGCACAGTAACGAAACATCTCAGGAAGAAACGAGAGGCCTCGCTCGAGGAGGCAGATGGCTCCGCAGCCTCTGCAGCGCCGCTGGGGCAACGAGCCCGGAGCGGTGCAGGGAAGTGCTCTGGGGAGCTGAAAGGGCCGCGAGGAAGAGGCAGGGGCGCCTGCTCCCCAGGCGATGCGGGGGTGTGGGTGTCGACGACAGCTCCCGGCAGCAGGGACGCAAGGCTAACAGTGGGCATCTACAGTTGTCAGCACAAGCGAGGAGAAACAGCTCCCAGCTCCCAAACAAAAGCGACAGCGTCAAACCGCTGCAGAGGAGACCCAGCACTCCCCGGGAAAGTGACGGAAGAAGGTCAAATCGACAGATGCAGAGAGGGTCTTGCTACTCGATTACAGCACAAGCTAATTTATGTCCCACTTCTGGACCTAGTGGAAAACAAATTCTGAGCAAGAAGCCAGTCTACACTGAAACGGCCAATCAGTTCTTTAAAACAGGACTATGACGTTAAGAAATCAGAACAAGTTCTTGTAACAAGGGGCATTTTCTCTTAGAAACCCTCCTCCTTCTCCCTCTGGGCATCTGGGGGGTGGCGCAGTGGGGCCTCCCTGTGTCTGGGTCACTGGGCACCATTTTAAAGTGAAGACTGTCGCCATCATAATGAAGGGCCAGCTTCCCGTAGTCCGGGAGGATGCTTTACATAGTGTTTTGTTTCCAAAGCACAGATTGTTTATTTCCTCAAAGATATGCTGCTTTCCAACACCCGCCCCAAACAAACCCACGAACGAAAGAAAAGACCATCTGGTCTCTCCATTTACTTTAAATAACAGCTCAAGAAGGAACCGTGTGATCAGAGCAATCTCGAAGGAAGTGCTATTTGGAGGGACAGGCCTAACGAGCTGTGACAACGGCCCCTGGAATGAGCCGAGACAGCCAGCCCAGAACTATTCGGAACCAGGAACTGCACTGGACGCCGGAGCCAGAGTGCAGCCTGACCCTCGGTCCTGTCCCACGGGCAGGCCACGCTTCTCACAAAGGGTTCAGGTTAGAAAAAACTATGTTGAGATCTGTGTTTATAATTTTGTACCACAAAGCAACATTGACAACAGAAAAATACATCAACTTGCATCTTGAACTTATACTTCACTTTTGGATGTTTTTGCTAAAAAAGACAAGTGAGTCTGACTAAGCACATGATCCCTACGAAACTTCTCTCTGCAGGCTTTTTCTGCTGTGTATCGCCCATCGAAAGCACTCCCCCTAAAAACACTCTAAGACCCCAAGTGAAGAACCCTAGGACAGTGTCTCCGGCCCCCTACCTAGAGCCGGGTGCAGCCAGCGGCAGCTGACCAGCCACACACGAGGAAAGAGCCCCGTGAGCAGTGTGCAGGGGTGCGGGGGAGCCCTTCCTTCCACAGGGCTGGCCCAGGGACCCAGAGCTCCCTTCTGTGGCAGAGACCACACCCTGCTATTCAAAATGCAAGAAAATGGGTGTTTTTATGAGGAGCTGTTAAGATCCAAAGCTTAGCTGCTGAAATACTCTAGTGGCAGAGACAGACCAGAGGAACCAAGTCCGGGAGTGACTAAAAGGCCACGCAAGTTCTCTCAGGGTGACTGCTCCATGTTGCACAATCACATTCAGTCTGTGCTCTGCCTCCAAAGCACATACACGCTGGGTTTCACGTGAACATGCTCCTCTCGATCCCTGGAGAACGGGAGAGCGCGCAGCCCTTCCTAAAGGAGGGCGTCTGCCCAAGGCTGTGATGCTCTCTCAGGCCACTCCCACGTCCCAGGTCCTTCCAGCTCAACAGCAAGTCCGTCCGCACTCCCCTCTGGGGCAGCTCTCAAGGGGGCCCCTGCCAGCTCCTCTAGCGGGTGCGGTGGTCTAGCTCCGCCCTCCACGCCGAGCCCAGGAGGAGCACGCCCACTTCTAGTTCCACACACAGCCCTCCCCTGGGCAGCCGAGGGGTCTCGCCCGGGCCTTCCCAGGGAACGAAAGAGCCCTGGCACCTTGGGAAGCACACGCTGCGCAGGGCGACCATGGCGGGGCAGGCGTCAGGCGCCTCAGACAGTGTACAGGCTGCCAGGCCACGCACATTCCGTCCACAGACGGTCCCAGCGTTGCGTTTACGAGCAGGAGCCTGTGCAGCGGAAACAGTACTGAACACGGACGCGGGAAGGTCTGGCCGGATCTGGACTCTGAGTTGGGAGCATCTCTGAGACACGAGACACGGCTCGGCCGCTCTCCTCCCACGCCACAGGCTGCTCTGGGAGGGAGGAGGCATCTGTGCGATTCTGCGGCGACCCTGACTCACACCTGTGCTCAGGGGCAGGGCCAGCTGCCCGTCAGACGTGAACCAGGTCACACTGCAGCGATGGTCACCTTCCGCCCCAGAGAGGGGCGACACAGGAGGGAACGACCTGGGCATGGGTGCGTGGACAGAACACAGCACCCTGGAGGCCTCGGGAAGACTCGGAACGTTTCTCTCAGTGGCGGGGGAGTCACTGTGGGGCTCTGAGGACTTTGGGGGGGACGGGTTTCCACGGTCCCACTGGCTGCCTGGTGGAGAATGGCCTGTGGAGGGAACTGAGGTCGAAGCAAGGGGTCAGGAAGAAGCCTCGAGTGGTCACTCAGGCGGACGGCAGCAGCTCAGGCCAGGGCGGGTTGGAGACGGTCAGTTCTGAGAAAGCAGAAGCAGGACGTCTCAGAGGAGGAGCCGCCCGGCTACGGCCGCTGAGGCTTCGGACGCAGCGCCCAGAGGACTGCAGCGGGGCAGGCGGGAGCTGGAGCTGGCGGGGCGGCGAGAGGGACCCGCCTTCGAGCACGCTGAGATCGGAGTGGCCCTGTGCCGTGGTGGGAGGAGGCAGCACTGAAAATGTGAGCGAGGGTCCCCGGCACCAGTGTGAGCCATGGGTCTGGAGGCAGCAGCCACAGGCAGAGAACGGAGACCAGAGGGAAAAGCAGAATCCAACCAGGCAGCCTCCTCCAACCTGTGACCTCTGCTGCTCCCCGGAGGGACCACCTGCCTCCTTTATCCCACTCACCATAAAAACCCTGTAATAACCCTAAGGAATATGTGCCTTAACACCGCTCAGGGCAGCGTCTGCCGCTGCCCTCAATGACCTAAGGGGGACGGAGCCCGACAGAGGCGGTGTCCAGAGGACCCGCCCGTTCTGACGCAGTGAGGGCTCCATGGGCGACAACGTGATTGATGACACTGCTACTTACTGGGGAATTAGGCTACAGATGTTCAGAAATGATGATCAAAGGCGATATTAATATTAGAAATAATTACCTTTTAAAGAAAGAAAAAAAATTATTTCTTCGAAATAAAAACCTTCGTGTAGCCCTTCCCATATCATCTCCAGGGCACAGAAGCCCCGGCCTCCCACAAGGGAGCCCCGGACGCAGCGTTCCAGCGGTCCACTCTGCACACACCTCAGCACACAGGGAGGGAGACGTGTATGTTTCATGTGTCTTGTAAAGAAAACCTGCCTCTCAGTCATCAAGGAGGGGTCCTCTGTGGCTGGTATTGCCACCACACTATCTATTTACATTTGAAAAGGCAGCTGTTACTCAGTGAAAGGCCATCAGGTCAAACTTGAATGGAGGTGTTTTAAGTACTGCCTGAGCTGGCCTGGCCTTCAGAAGCCTACTGACAAATGCTGGCTTAAAGCTAGCAGGACCCTCTCTGCAGATGGCCCAGGCAGCAGCTGCACATGGCGGGCACTGAGCCACCACCACCAACGCCACACACACGGAGCCCACACAGAATGTGGCCTGAGAGCCACGTGTCCACGGGACAGTGCTGGGAGAACAGAGTGCACCGGGAATCTCTCACGCCACCAAGCGACAGGTGCACCCTAGACAGGGACCTCTTAACTGGCAAACAATGTCAACGTCATTCAACCAAGTATCTGATAGTTGAATACCTAAAATCTATTTCTAATGGGACAGGAATAAAATGGATTATTACTCTTTGCAAAATTTCTTTCGTTTGCTCATGTATTTATGACTAATAAGAAAATACAAAATCAATTTTATGACTAAAACTGAGAAAAGGTCAAAACCATAAACAGTACACTTAAAATTAAGAGAAAAGCAAAGAAAAACAAAACGTAAACACAATCAAAGGCATGCTCTAGTCACGGATCACTGACGCTGATCTAAGACGCCTAGGAGCTGTGGCTACTGAAAACACAAACACCACTAACGAAAAGAAAATCAAGACAGGAAAAAGTACCAAAGGGAAAGAAACAAGAACATACCAAATCTAGAACAGAGATTGCTGGCACAGCAGTCTGCTGCAGGTGACAGAGAAGGAAAAAAGAAAGAGGAAGTGTGAGAAGTTAGGTCCACGATCCGCCTCCAGCCTGCCTGCGCTCTCCGCTGCCTGTCTCCGAGGGACCCGAGGGGAGGGCTGCAGGCTAGTGTCTGTATTCAGAAATTAAACACTGAGTTTCATGATTAAGATACACGGAAACTAAGAAAGGTAAGCTTTCCCTCGGCTCTCTTCCTTGGAGACTGAGATGCTAACCTCAGTATACACCAACACCAAGTGCACAGATGCTCCGCCATCGATGTGGCCCACGCTCGAGCTGAGCTGCGTAAGGGGGAGCATTCTTTCTGTGTGTTTGCGTTGAGAGACACAGGCCACAGACATGTTCAGCCACTATGATGACCCCGCCTGCCACGTGTGCACGGGGACAGGCCAGCCGCGGGACGCACACTGTGCGAGGAGAAGCACGCGGCCGACCATTTCCACCACGGAGGCCACTGTTCTCAGGCTGAATGTCATTAGTTCTCATCAAACAGCTGTTTTTTCCGATCAGATGGTACTGATGGCAAATATAGTCATTCTGAAGGAAGCTGACTCCTGATGAGTTGGAAAATGCTAGTAAAACACTGTAATCGTTAACAAGTAGGCCTTCATTCTAGAAACTAAGTGTCGTGAGCAGGACTCCACCTGCACTTTGGGCAAAGGTGCCCACACACTTGGCAGAGGATGTGCCTGTAACGTAAGAGGTGTGTGCGGGGCTGACGGGAACAACTAACGGAGCACGCTGGAAGGACCGCTGCCGGCTCACGGGGGCCGGAAGGTCTGACTGAGCTACTGGTTCCGAGCACCTAGCACGACAGCCTCCAACACAGCTGGGTAGAAACAATCCAAAGACAAACTGGACGTGCTCTCGGCTGTCTCTGCTCAGAATACTGCACTGTATTAAGAAAAATCACTAAAGTTCATTAACCTGAAATGGTCAATGGACTCTCTGCAAGTTAATACTGATAAATGCCTCTCTGTCAACAAGTCTCTTGAGAGGCTAATAAAAATCTTAAATTTGACATTTTAACAATCTATCAAACTAATATGCCTTTTCTTCTTTTCTATGATACAAAAGAACCACAAGTTATTTATATAATCTGAAGAAATGAGTAAAATTATAAGTTCTCAGTATCTTTTTATTACCACTGAAATGTCACTGTTTAGTAAACACTTGCTCGTCAACCTTGTAACTCTATGCAGAGCCTCCTTCTGGCAGTGGGATAAAACCTTAACTCCGAGGTCTGGACAGGGTCCTTGTCCTGTCGTCAGGGCACTGAGCTGCCCAGCTGCCTGTCCCTCCACGCACGGTCCTGCTCCGGCAGCAGAGCTGGGCAGTGAAGACAGAGTACGCACGGCCCACAAGGCCTGAGATATTCACTACCTGTCTGTTCAAGAAAAAATTTTGCCAACCCCTGATCAAGATTATTACTGGTTATTAACTTATTTTTTTAATGGAGGTGTTTGAGGAGGATAAGTGTAAGTTTACTAAATAGACGTAAAGCTCTATCTGGACTCTTTCTAACACTATTCCAAGTACATGTCTGCGAAATGCTCAGCCTTGTCACCCAGTTCACTTCTAGGGGCCTCAGCTAAGTCCCTCTGCAGCAGCCTCAGCCCCACCCCTGCAGGAGAGCAGACCAGGCCACCGCACGCCCTTTACCCTGGCTCTCCGCTCGGCCTCCAGCCGCTGCATGAGCAGCATGGTGTCCACGTCGTCGTCCTCCTCGTCCTCGTCCTCGTCCTTCTGCTTGGACTCCTGCAGCCGCTTCTGGAACTGCCACTCCAGCAAGAGCTTGCGCAGGCGGTCGCTGTCCTCGGCGCTGCGCTCCGGCTTGCTCTGCAGCTCCTGGATCTCCCTGCTCAGCATGTCCACGATGTGCAGCTGCTGCTGCTTCTCCAGCTTCTCCTTGGCGTCCCGCTTCCAGGGGTCTGGAGACAGGCTGTCCCCGGAGGACAGCTCCTCCTTGCTGATGGTGACGTACTGCAAGTCTCTGCGCTCGATCGTGCGGGGCTGCTGCTGGGGCTGCAGCTCCCGAATGACCGTCTCTTGGGGTCTCTGAAGCGTGGACGGTTTCTCCGGCTTCAGCGGCTGCACGGTCGCAGGGGAGAAGGCAGCAGTGCTCAGCGGCTGTGCGCGCATCTGGCCCAGCTTCCTCTCCTGCTCCCGGCGCTTCCTGTCCCGCTCCTCCTCCAGCCGGGCCTTCTCCTTCTCGTACCAGCGCTGGTGCTCTTCCCGCTTCCTCCGCTCGGCGGCGGCCGCCTGTGCAGGCTGAGGCCCCGTCTGGCTGGCAGGAGGGGGTGGGAGAGGCAGATCCATTGGGACTCCATCAAACTCGCTGGCATAGTGCGTGGGAGGTGGTGGAGGGGGTGGAGGCAGGTCCGTGCGGCCAGGCTGGGGAACCGCTGTAGGCATGGGCTGCCCAGCGGCTGGCGTCTTCCAGCGCCCAGGACCGCTTTTGGTCAGGGTGGACGCAGGAGTGCCCGATTTGGATGCATGGTCCAGGTGCTCTTGGCTGGACGCACTGGAGCCCACCGAGGAGCTCTGGTTCATCCACATGTCACTGTCAGACTTGCGATCCACCGCTGCTTCCGCTCGGCGGTGCTCCAGGTGAGAGGCTGGGTCTTCCCGAAGCTCCTCTTGGGAACGGGTGACACGCTGAAAACAGAGAAAGGAAAGCTGTCAGATTTCAGCCATTTATCAGAAGAAATTACTAAAAATTTACAAACACTTTATCTTGGGGAGAAAAGTCACTAGAGAAGTGAGCGCCCAGAACAGCTGGGACGGGGCCAGCGGATGCGACGTTGCGTGCGGGGAGCTCTACACCTGATGTGTCTGCGTCACCGCAAAGAAATGCACACAGAGACCTGGGCGCTTCAGCCAGGCTCCTCGTCCTTCTCAGCTCCCGGCGCACCCTCTGCTGCAGAACCAGCAACAACATAACTGACGTCGGAAAAATGAACAGCAACAAAAATCACTTCTCCACAGTAAAATCATAACGATGATAAAGTGGTTATCCGATCTCAACCACAGGACCCACCATGTCATTCTCAGCCGCACTGCTGACAGTGGACTTCCGGAGCCCGGACGAGCCCTGCAGAGTGGCCACCTGCGCCAGGACGCCCCCCGGGCCCGGGAAGGCAGAGGCAACACTTGTCACAGACCTAGTCTGATGTCCGAAAAACATTGTGTCTACATTAGTTTAATCCAATCAAAATGACTCAGTAGGATGTCCGAGTCAAACATTTTTTTCCTGTCTTGTTAATGAGTAGAAATTGAAGATTCAAACCTGGGAAATACATATTTTTGCCCGGGCCGGTTTGGCTCAGCGGTTGGAGCGTGGCCTGCGGTCCAGAGAGACCTGGGTTCAGTTCCCACTAAGGGCATGTACCTCGGTTGCAGTTTGTCCCCGGCCCTGGTTGGGGTCGTTTGAGTGGCAGCCAGTCATGTCTCTCTCACATGGATGTTTCTCTCTCTCTCTTCCCCCGCTCTCCTCCTTGCTCTGTCTAAAGATCAATGCAAAAGAATGTCCTTGGGTGAGGATTTAAAAGAGAATGCCAGAAAACTACTTCATTCTTGAAGAGAAATTTGGAGAAGATCTCTTCTTACAGCCAATCCCCACCTGCTACCAGGGCTGGAGGGGCGGGCGGAGGACGGGCTTCTGGAGGCCACCGCCCACCTAGGAAGGGGCAGGGTGGACCGGGGCGCCCGGACGAGGTGCGCACTCATGAGCCCCCACCCGTGCGAGCCCCTCACCATCAGAAGGGGTCTTCCTCACCTTTCTCACATTGTCTCCTGTGAATAACCCCCTTTCCCATTTCCTCATCCTTCTAGGTCCAGCTCAAATCCCATCTTAATCCTGAAGTACCTCGACCGCCAGACCAAGAGCCCACCTGGGAGTCACCACCCAGGGCGGCACTGCTGCGCAGCCTCGGCCAGCGGAGTCCCTCCTCCATCCCTGGGCACGTACACTGATCACTAACATTCTACAGCACACCAAAAAGTGTGTATAATTTTGATTCACTCACACTGGACAGCTATTGCTTTGGCTGTTGTCATTTTTAAGTTTGACAATCTAAGGAAAAAGAGGTCAGTGACCCTGACCCAATAGTCAGTCTTGCAGCTTCAAAGTCTTTGGGCGCTCCAGTGGGAAACCGCGGGCCTCGATGGTACCTTTCTGAAGCAGTGTTCAACTGTGTCCCCCAGCATCGCACACACAAGTTCTCTCTCTGAACAGGAACACACCTGACCATACCCCTGACCTGACTCCCGAGACTGACCGCTCTCCACTCACTGGGACGAACCCAAGTTCCTTAGCTGGTCGCACGGAGCTCTCCGCTGTGGTTCTGGCCGCCTTGACGCCTGGATGCCGCCACCTACCCGCCCCTGGGCTCCTCCCGAGCACGGGCGCCCCTGCCCAGGGCGGCTGCAGGCCTCCCCTTGCTGCACTGTCTCCTGGAAGCGCCGTTCTAGTTGCACTGGCGAGAGACACAGCCCGTCCCTCAGGGTCCAGCTTCCAGCAACACTCGCCACCTGGACTCAGCTTACGTCTCACCCCCTGGCCGCGCCATCAGCTCCCAGGCGGGCCATAACCTGCACACGCCCAGGCTCGGGCAGCTGCTGGCAGCCACAGCACCGCCTGGCCCTCGGGTTCCCGTCTCACCCCAGAGGCAGGACACCTGGCCTCACCACTGTCAGTCACGCTCAGCACGACTCACCGTCACTCGCCAGACGCTAAGAGAACACAGTGCCCTTGTCCATGCTCAGCACCCTGCCCTACCTGGCCACTTTCCCCCAGCTGACCACAAGACAGGGAAGGAAGCAATGCCGTCAGTGGGGCTGTGGGACAGGAAACGCCCCGTGTCTCAGATCTGTGTGAGGGCTGACGTGGGGAAGCATGAGTGTGGAACCCCTCCCCTCACCTGCACCCCAACACCGGGATGACTGCTGTCCATGTGCAGGTGCGGCTCTTCCTCGTAAGTGGGCCACTGGCTGTGAGGAGGAGGAGCTGCCCGGTCCTGGGACTTGGAGGCAGGGAATGTGAAATACTCCCTGGTGTACGTTTGCGTGGGAATGGGGTAGGCCTCAGGTCGAGGTGGGGGGGTCTGCTCCTGCAAAACGTGAACAAGGAAAAAAGTGAGTTCTTTGCGATTTGTACGGTGGGCTTAGTTAATTTCCAATTATCTCTTTTGTAATATAGTATATACATTTGAAAACCAAGTTAAAAATTAAAAGGGTTTGATCCTATATGGAGAATAATGAAAAACACTTCATCTTGCCCAGACTTACTAATTTCAAGTTCTTTTACCTATTATGTTAAACAAAACAAAAAATTAAATCCTCAGGAGTTATCAACAACACTGATCTGTGGAGTTATCAGTCAGTGAGGCCTCTAAGGGAGGCTAGGACTTAGGTGACAACGGCTGGCTCGGACCTCTGCACACAGGTTCCCGGTAGAGACGGACGTTATCTTCACGCCGGTTCCGGGGGCGTATGCGCTTTTCCCGCCAGGACTTGGAGGCTGATCTGGTGGAAGAGTTAGGGACAGAATGTAATGTCATACAAACCAGATGTTACAGAACAAGAGTCCCGAGGGCATGAGTCTGTGTTCTGCCGTGGGGTGTCTGGCCCAGGGATGGGCACCAGGCAGGGGAGGGAGCCGTAGGCCCTGCGGACCAGGGACGGGCAGGCTGTCTCCTGCTTCCAGGGCTGTGCTGCGCAGTCACGTGTGCTGCTGCGTCCTGTCAACAGCCTTCAGGAGTGCAGAGCATGTGCCCTGCTGGCACTTTGCCGGCCCCGCCAGGGACAGTCAGGGCCCCTGCCCACAGCAGCACCTGGATCAGAAGTTTTCCAACTTAGTTTCTATTTCCTGTTACAAGAACCTTCATTTTCATACCCCTTGTGAAAACATGTCCCAGTCAGTGGGTACGTGGAGCCATGATTTCATTCTACTGCAAAACGAGAGCACCTCTCCTCCTCTGACCGACCACGCGGGCTGGGACGAGGGCTCGAGGCAAGACAGGGAAGGGCCCTACGGACTCTCTTACTTGCCACGTTGGGGCTGGACCGGTGGTCAGCTCTGTTCTTCAGCAGCCTGTCGTCGCCAGGTGGCCTCTTTGGCTCACTGCACTCGGCCCAAGGCAGCTGAGGGCTCTCGGGGGACCCATTCTGAGCGGAGCTGTTGTAGAGCTCGAACCCTTCGCTCTTCGGACGGGGCTTCCCTGAGCCGCGGCGATCCGACACTGCAATGGGAACACGCCCGATGGGCATCCTGTTTATCTTTGAAAGACGAATCTACAAATATTTGAAACTCCCTAAGTAAAACTTGTTTTTACAGAAAGAAATAAGATGATTTTTATGTATGGGTAAATCTGTCCAGAGAATCTTTAAAGGGTTTTTAAACAAAGACTGTGTAACTGGCATCAATGGAGAAATGCACTCTTTCAAAGCGCATGTCTCATAAATTTACCTGTTTTAAGTAAAAACCAAAGTAACAAAAGTAACAAAACTTGTTTTAAAGTAACTTTTTAAAAAACAAAATAAATCTACCCCCCACCTCAGTCCCCCAGCACGCACGGCGGCCGTCCTCAGACCTCCAGCAGAACTGCTCCGCTTTGCTCCCAGGCCCTCGGCTTCCTGCCCGGTGGCCCTGACTGTGCTCTGTTCCCTGTCCCCTCTGTGACTTCCCCTGTCTAGTCTGCTTCTCTGAAATGCCGGCAAACCGAGAAATCTGAACATTTAAATCAAACCAAAATGCTAACTATTATGTTGTGAGAAAAGTAGAAATTATGCTGAGTCCAGGCACATAGTTCAGAACATGGTTTTATAAAGATTGTCTTTCTGTGGTTGTAATAAACAGCAGTCCAGGTTCTCGGTACCTTTGTTGCGGTTTGTTACTCTGAGGTCTGGACTCCGGGTTCTAGGCTCTGAAGTTCCCTACTCAGGCCGGATGCACAGCCATGCAGTTAGCAAAGTGGATTACGAAGTCCGAGATGTAAAGTATGTGATGACTTAAAACATAATGTGAGTCCATCGTTTTTCCCTCTGGTTTCTGAACTAGTTTCTTTTTAGAAGTCCTAAATTTATATAGATTTTTATTCTGAGATTTCTGATGCAGCTACAAAACCACAGTTCCCACCGACATATACCTGAGAAGATGACGCCTCCATTCAGCATCAGCAGGATCAAAGTAACTGTTCCTATCTGTCAGCGCTCTTTGGGGAGAGAGGGCTACCACGTCCTATGTCTGCCTATCAGAACTGAGGCACCCCCATCCCTTCAGAGTCTGCTCTGGGCCAGGCCCGGGGAGGGGACTCGAGGTGGGAGCCTAATGAGACACCACTGTGGCTTGAAGGTCCACACTTGAACCCTGGCTCCCATAAGCCCCATCCTGCTTCCTTATCTTCAAAACTGGACACTGAAGGTAATGGACCTACTCCACAGGGCTGTCACTATGAACAGAGCCCTGATCGAGCAATGCCTGGCCCGCGGGAAGCGGTTGGCGGAGAGGCACACCCTCCCGAGCAGCCTTACATCTCTGCACCATCGGGGACGGCTGGCTGAGAAGGGTGGCCAGGCCGTGATAGATGGCTCCTCGCTTCGCAACTTCCAGAGTCACCACGGAACTCGTCCTGGTCATGAGCTCTGCTGCCCTGGGGAGAGGGTCGCAAAGGCGAGGAGTGAAACACACGGCCGCTCTGTCCCAGGGTGTGATCAGCCTGGCCCACGCTCTGCTGAGCTCTGACCTCGACACACTGCCGGGTCACTGCCCACTCCGCCCCTCCGCTCAGCGATGAAACTGCACCCTCCTCTTGTCAGGGGGTGTGAGAGTGTAGGAATTTCAGGAAGTGCTCTGACTAAAGCACCCATTTATATTTTGCTAACAAACGGAATGTCACGTACACTAAAAGTTCACACTTAAACAGGTAAAGGGTGTGGCACAGCTTTCTAGACTTATTTTTCGTCCTCCCATTCCAAAAGCTAATGTGAAATATCCCTATGGAAGTGAATATTACGCCTAAAGCAAACAAATAAATGATACCTTTCTTGAGAGAGTCCGACCAGACTGCGCCCGTCCACACTGAGGAGCTGGTCCCCGGCAGCCAGCCGCCCGTCCTGTGTGCCCGAGGCAGAGGCAGGTCCGGAGGTGGAGCAGTGGGCGGGGAGGGGGGGGGGGGGCAGTCAGGGTAAGTACACTTCCCACATGTGGGTTTTCGGCGAGCAGTGCTCACCGCTTGTTACACAGGATCATGGAAATTTACGGGGTGAGAACTATACTGACCACATCCGCAGCGCCTCCCTTCACGACGGACTTCACGTAGATCCCGAGTTTATCCTGACCGGCACCCTAAGCAAGAGCAAGGCGAGACAGCACACTGAGCACAGCAGGGACCACTCAGTGAAGTGAACAAGAACAAAACGTACACATTTTACATGAAAATTAGAACTTTAAAACCATATTAATAAAATTGACATTCTATTTGGTAACTATAAAAAAAAAACAGGAAGTGTACTATTTTTTGTTTCCAAATTAAGAAAAATTACTCCTGAAAAATAAGTCATTTATTAAGAAATCTATTAAGAGGAGACTAAACTAGACTGAACCCCACCGTAACTGGGTCGGCTGTGAACAGCCACAGGGTACGTGAACTAAAGCCCACTCTTATGACATACATGCTACTAATCGCCTTAACACAAAAGCAAAAATATAAGAAGGTATCATAGGGAGTTATAAAGACAGTGAAACAAATTTTTTCAATGCTCAAACTACGTAATTTCCACTTGAAAACACCTGCTTTTTCCCGCTGGGTAACTGGGTCTGCAGAGGAGTCTGTCCAGCGACATGCTGAGGGTAGGTGTGTCCTGCTCCCCCTCAGGGAGAGTCCAGCACACACGTGCTTGTTCTGTGAACCTAAAACCATCTAGTATGCACCTCCTTTGGAAAACAGTGCACCGTCTCCGTTCAGCAGAACAGGCCCCTTTGCGGAAGCACCGTGCTCGAGCTCACGTGGTCACGCGGACGGCGACTGGTCACAACAGTTCTATGAGCTGAGATCCAGCATTCGCCTTTGCGGCTCCCGACCCCCAGTTTTCCGGTCTGCTCCCCACAATGCCCTTCTGCCCGTCTGTACGCGGACAGCCACTGATGCCTCGCCGCAGACCTGCAGAGCCGACGCAGCTGCTCGCTCGCTCCGTGCCCTAGCAGGCCTCTGCACTCTCAACACGGCACCAAGTGCGGCCTGTAGTCCCCACCTGGCTCCTTTTGCCATACAATTAAAAACAAAAAGCAAAACACAAAAAATTCATTTGGATTGTTGGCAAAGCTCGTGCTTTTTTAAAAATACGAAATTTCACCATAAAAGTATATAGCAGACATTTAATAAATGGCAACTTTCTGAATTTACCATGTCACTAAGCAAGAGCAATGAACACACCTTTCCCCGACTTCACTGATGCCAACACTGGCTCCCTTGAATTTTGGGGCCTGAGACACACGGCAGAAAATCACTTCTAAGACACCCCTCACAGCTCCCATTTGTTGAAGAGCGTATTTCTGCGTACACGATCTAATTAAATGATTGTTAAACACGTATTCTACACTTTCTTGTAACTTGTAATCAACTGCTTGATGCAACAACTCAGCTGTTTGAATGACAGTTCCATCTTCCACGACCGTGCACCGCTGGAGGAGACGGAGCGCCCTGCCTCATGGAGTCTCATCTTCCAGAGAGTTTTCTCCACGGCTGTCAAACAGTAATTCTGAGCGGGGCACTGAAATCCCGCTCTTCTTCTTCTGCGATTACTACTATTTGCAGCTAGTACCCAGGACACGCTTTTAAAAAGGCTCTGCAAGCACCCTTTTCTCTTCTGCTCCCTACTCGACCGAGAGAGGGCGATGCTTGCTGAGCTTGAGAATGCAGCCGTCTACCCTCAGTCCGCAGCTTCCCTTTCCGTGGGTCCAGTCTCCATGTCTACTCAGATCGGAAAACACCACGTGGAAAAACCAGAGGTCAACCATGCCCACGTTAAATGTGCACCGTTCTGAGCAGCACATGGACTCTGGAGCTGTGCGGCTCTGGCCACCTGAGCCGGGAACCACCCTGTGTCCAGCATCCCCACACCACACATGCTGTCCGCCATCGGACATTCTGCAGCGGCTGCTGTCACCACATCAGTGGTGTGAGAGAGACCAGTCACACAACTGTTCGTACAGCATCTTGTTCTATTTATCACTGGCGGTGGCTTTCATCTCCTGGGCCCAACTCATAAATCTACCTTTCCCACAGGGTGCGGGTCCAGGAAATACGTCCACAGTCTGCACTGTCCTCGGTGTCAGGCACCCACTGCGGCCTTGGAACGCGTCCCCGTGAACAAGCAGGAACGACCAACGTCTCAGTGAGAGAGGCGCCTACCACACCCCACAGCACTTCTCAGGGATGTGACACGTCCTTGTCGTGCAGGTAATAAAGCAACAGAGCAAGCCCTCCTTCACTCCTCATACCCGGTAAGCTTCACAAAGTTACTACTAATAAGGAATAAAACCTCATTTATTTGGACAAATTATAATAACAGAACTCTTTTTTAAAAATCACATAATAGAATGATGCAGGAAAACGAGAAAAACACTCTTTTCTTCTCCCTAGTATACCGAAAATTGCACACTCACTTCTGTGGGGTATCAGTTAGCTTTTCTCCTCCTCACAAAGCCCACCCACCCACCCTGGGGACGTCTGTGCTCCAGGCTCACAACGCTCACAATGCCCACTCTGGGGACGTCTGTGCTCCAGGCTCACAACGCCCACCCTGGGGACGTCTGTGCTCCAGGCTCACAACGCCCACCCCGGGGTGTCTGTGCTCCAGGCTCACAACGCCCACCCCGGGGTGTCTGTGCTCCAGGCTCACAACGCCCACCCTGGGGACGTCTGTGCTCCAGGCTCACAACGCCCACCCCGGGGTGTCTGTGCTCCAGGCTCACAACGCCCACCCCGGGGTGTCTGTGCTCCAGGCTCACAATGCCCACTCTGGGGACGTCTGTGCTCCAGGCTCACAATGCCCACTCTGGGGACGTCTGTGCTCCAGGCTCACAATGCCCACCCCGGGGTGTCTGTGCTCCAGGCTCACAACGCCCACCCCGGGGTGTCTGTGCTCCAGGCTCACAATGCCCACTCTGGGGACGTCTGTGCTCCACGCTCACAACGCCCACCCCGGGGTGTCTGTGCTCCAGGCTCACAACGCCCACCCTGGGGACGTCTGTGCTCCAGGCTCACAACGCCCACCCTGGGGACGTCTGTGCTCCAGGCTCACAACGCCCACCCCGGGGTGTCTGTGCTCCAGGCTCACAACGCCCACCCTGGGGACGTCTGTGCTCCACGCTCACAACGCCCACCCCGGGGTGTCTGTGCTCCAGGCTCACAACGCCCCACCCCGGGGTGTCTGTGCTCCAGGCTCACAACGCCCACCCCGGGGTGTCTGTGCTCCAGGCTCACAACGCCCACCCTGGGGACGTCTGTGCTCCAGGCTCACAACGCCCACCCCGGGGTGTCTGTGCTCCAGGCTCACACGCCCACCCCGGGGTGTCTGTGCTCCAGGCTCACAACGCCCACCCCGGGGTGTCTGTGCTCCAGGCTCACAACGCCCACCCTGGGGACGTCTGTGCTCCAGGCTCACAACGCCCACCCCGGGGTGTCTGTGCTCCAGGCTCACAACGCCCACCCCGGGGTGTCTGTGCTCCAGGCTCACAACGCCCACCCTGGGGACGTCTGTGCTCCAGGCTCACAACGCCCACCCCGGGGTGTCTGTGCTCCAGGCTCACAACGCCCACCCCGGGGTGTCTGTGCTCCAGGCTCACAACGCCCACCCTGGGGACGTCTGTGCTCCAGGCTCACAACGCCCACCCCGGGGTGTCTGTGCTCCAGGCTCACAATGCCCACCCTGGGGACGTCTGTGCTCCAGGCTCACAACGCCCACCCTGGGGACGTCTGTGCTCCACACTCACAACGCCCACCCCGGGGTGTCTGTGCTCCAGGCTCACAACGCCCACCCCGGGGCATCTGCGCCCCAGGCTCACTGTTCGTTGCCGCCTCCTTGGATCACTACTCTGTTGCCAACTTCCTCTTTCAGATCAGTCATCTCATACCTGAGGGCAACTATTAGGCTCGATTATTTCGTAACCACTCTACATTTTAGACAACTTAATATTTAAACTTAGCAGACTCCATATTTACATAACCTGAAATCCTGTAACATGTTTAAACAGGTAATCTATTAAACTACGAGCAACGTGAAATATAATGAGCCTAAATTAAATATTCAAGCAAAACCGACTATGTAACACAGATAACTGACAGCATCACCACCACCAGGTCTTTAAACAGGCAGAAGATGACAGCACACATCTCAGAAACCCTGCCAGCCTCCCTGGGTGCCAAGGGCCTCAGGAGATGCCCTCTGGAAGCGTGCCTCCCACTGGGCTCTACTTCCCACGACCTCACCAGCAGCCTCGGCCCTGGAGTCGCGCTCCCTGACCTACGTGCAGGGGTACAGTCTCCCAACACTTTACGCTTGGTCCAGACCAGGCTGCATGTCCCAGTTCCATCCTGTTTCCACTTTGTCCTCATACAAACCTCCTTCTGATGTCGTGTGTCCACCCACATCCTTTGACCCCTGGATCCCTAGGCTCACCTGCCACTACTCGCCGACTCACTTGCCGTTCCCAGCGTTAGACCCGGTTTCCTCTGCTCCCTCGGAACAGTCGGTCAGTCTGTCCTGTATGCCAGCTGCTTCTACAGAGGCTCCTCCCCGAACCCTTCCCCAAACACCCGGAAGTGGTCAGCCCCTTATTTGAATACAATTCCTTATTCTGAGGAAGTCGAGTCCAAAGGGACAATCAGTGCGTCAGGAAGCAGCTGCTGGGCTCACTATGAGCTGGTGACAACACTGACAACCCTGGAAGCACACTGTTATTTTGAAAGTGACAAACTCGAAGCATTTATAATTTTGGCACTAAATGTGTTTTCAGAAGGGACACTCAAACCCACACTGTTTGGTAATGCATGATGAGAAAGGCATAGTACTGAAGAAGCAATAGATACTCTTTTCTTCCATGATGGGAATTTATCTAAATTCTAAGTTATAGGCATTTCTCTCCATTCCAAGCACCTTCCATTGCGCCTAAGAGGTCTATTTAAGGCTAGTCATAAAAACTGACTTTGATTAAAAGTTATTGACAATGCATCATATATTTAGAGAAGAAGGGGGAGAGAGAGAAACATTGATATGAGAGACAAATATCGATCAGTTGCTGCCCGTAAGTGCCCCGACTGGGGACCGAACCACAACCTGGGTAAA